ACTTCTGCCCCAGCAATAACTGCAGACATTAAGTGCCATCAACTCTGAAAGTCAGGCACTGCCTGAAAAACCTGTAGTGAGGTTCAGAAAGTGCAGTTACTAAAAAAATTAACTGAAGGGAAAAAAAAAAATCTACTGAAAGGAGAAATGGTCCTGTTTTAGCCGAACCAGGACAGCTTGTCCCTGCAGGTCTGGTCTTGCTTGTTTGCACTAAACCTTCACCTGCAGGTCTGGACACCAAGACTGAACGGAGCTGGTTACTGTTAATGGTAGCATTCTTCTTTGCTGCTTGCAGCCTTGCTGGGACAGCCAAGGATCTGCAGTGTTGGAGCTGGGAGGCAGAGGGAGGCAGCCTGGGGGTTACAGGCTGCAGAGCTGGCTGGTATTGCTAGATGCAGCAGTAGAGCTGCTAGAAGCAGAGCAGCCTTGCCTCCAGACCACCTCTTGCTGCTGCAGCTGGATACTTTCAAAGCTTGGCTGCAGTGTCTCACTTGGGCCCTGGCATGCTGACTGTTCACTTGGACCAAGTAAAGGTGCTGGCACTGCATGCCCAGTCAGCTGCCTTGCATGTTGCTGTAACATTCCCTCTGTAGTAAGTAGAACCAAATAGCCAAGCAGCCTAAAGGATCTAAGTCCTTTTGTACACAAGCCTGTTCTAGGTCTGACCCAGAGCTGCCCCTCACATGGGTGCTTCTGGGGAGGCTGGGGCATAGGACTCTCCAGTCAGACTCTGCCTGTCTGTATGCATCAAACACAGGCAGAGCTGAAACATGCTTCCACAAAAGGTGCTCACTGGTTCTCCAGTCCCTTTTCCGCTTTTCAAACCGGTGTCTAGCCTTGCAAGAGTGTTTGTGCTGGTGGCATATCGGAGGCAGCTGGGTTGTAGGTGTATTAAACAGGGGCCTGACTAGGCCACTCTACCTCCATCTTCCATGCGAAGATGAGCTTCCGGTGGCTGCTTGTATTGTCTTGAGACTAACCTAATCTTGAGAAAACAGATGGAGCATAATCAAAATTAAACATCTTCTAAGCTGCTGTGAGGAGCAAGTATGAGCTGAAGGAATCATAGGCTGTGACACTAACCATGGAATGTCCTAATTGTTCCAAAGGGTGTTAGACACACTCTGTCTGGAGTAGGACTAAGCTGCTAGTATTCAACTTCCTTGTGCATCTGTGACTGTCAGGTAGCTGTTAAAATCCGTTGTGGAGTTGGACATTGAGGAGCACAACGCTTCACAGTATTACAGAATCGATCTGTTTGGAAGAGACCTCTGGGATCATCGAGTCCAACCTTTGCCCTAACACCACCATGTCAACTAGACCATGGCACTAAGTGCCACGTCCAGTCTGTCTCGAAGCACCCCATCTAAATGTTTTTTTACCACCTCGGGGGATGGGCCCCCCCCCACCTCCCTGGGCAGCCTGTTCCAATGCTTGACAACCCTTTCAGTGAAGAAATTCTTCGTAATACTCAACCTAAAGCTTGCCCGGCACAACTTGAGTCCATTTCCTCTTGTCCTATCACTCGTTACCTGGGAGAAGAAGCTGACCCCCACTTTGCTACAGCCTCCATTCAGGTAGTTGTAGAAAGCAACAAGGTCTCCCCTCAGCTTCCTTTTCTCCAAGCTAAACAACCTCAACTCCCTCAGCCACTCCCCATCAGACTTGTGCTCCAGACCCTTCACCACCTTCATTGCCCTTCCCTGGACTCGCTCCAGCACCTCAAGGTCTTTCTTGTAGTGAGAGGCCCAGAACTGGACATAGTATTTTGAGGTGTGGCCTCAGCAGTGCCCAGTACAGGGGGACGATCACTTCCCTAGTCCTACTGGCCACACTTTTCCTGATACAGGCCAGGATGTTATTGGCCTTCTTGGCTATCTGAGCACACTCCTGGCTCATGTTCAGCCAGCCTTGACCAGCACCCTCAGGTCTTTTTCTACTTGACCACTTTCTAACCACTCTTCTCCCTGCCTGTAACACTGCATGGGGGTTTTGTGGTCGAAGTGTAGGACTCAGCACTTGTTCTTGTTGAACTTCATGCCGTTGGTCTTGGCCCATCGATCCAGCCTGCCCGGGTCAAATTACTCCATGTACTAGCCTTAATTCTCCTTGCTTGCAGTGCAAATGTGCAGTTAATGTTCCTCTTTGCTTCAGGTTGCAAATGCCAAAGAGGCAGGAGCAGTTGGTGCCCTGATGTACCTGGACCCCTACGATTACAAGAATACAGATGTGCTTGTCCCTTTTGGACATGTGAGTATGCACCTGACTCCCCTGTTTGTTGTTCTTGTGAACCTTTCTCACTGTGGACTGCAGACTGCAGCAGTCCTTCTGCAGGCCTCTGGCTCTGCAGTGCTTCGTTCCCTTGTGTAGATGAAAATTGCTGGATTCCTCTGAGACTTGAGGACTCTTGCTTTTCACAGGCCCACTTTGGAACTGGAGACCCTTTCACCCCAGGCTTCCCTTCCTTCAACCACACTCAGTTCCCACCAGTGGAATCTTCTGGACTACCTCGCATTGCTGTTCAGACTATCTCTAGCCAAGCAGTGGGCAAGCTGTTCAGGTAACTGCTTCTCCTTGCTCGCAGACTAGGTTGCTGTGGCTCTTTTGCAAGAGTGAGGATGTTGAGCCCAGGCAGCTCTCTGCTGGTCCCTGCTGTGTATTGCAGGGAGCACTTACTGGAACTGGCTAGAGAAATGTCACTTGTGTCCATGTCTCATGTTTTAAAGACTGAACTTAATCTAGCATTGGATTCATCTTGGCCTCTGCATACTACCTCTCCTTGCATAATTAGGAGTACAGGACTGCAAGCTATTTCCTGAGCAGGCCATGAACAAGGCTGCACCTGCAGTTGCAGGCTTGCTTTTTTCACAGGATGGCTAAATGAGGTCAGAGCCGGATAATGAGTTCAAAGGATCTCTCTTTTTCCCTCAGCAAAATGAATGCAGACAGATGCCTTCTGGAGTGGAAAGCTGGAGTCATGGGATGTCAGGTGATGCTGAGCAGCACGAGCAAGGTGACAGTGAACCTGACCGTGAACAATGTTATGGCAGACAGGAAGATTCTGAACATCTTCGGTGCTATCAAGGGATTTGAAGAACCAGGTAACAGCAACTGCCTTGTGGCTCAGTCTTGAGGGGAACTTTTCCTCTCCTGTGATCATCAGAACATGACAGCTGCTCCCAGACAGACAGCCACTTCCTCAGCAGAACCAAGACTGTCCCCTAAGGGCCAAGGAAAAAGCTGAACTCTGCTGCTGGGGAGAGGCTAAATGAAAGCAAACAGTGCACCAGATTCAGGCGTCAGACTCCATACTCTTTTCCTAGTACAGAAACTCAAAGCTGCTGTTCTGATAAATGGTGTTTGCAACCTGAAGTTTGCAGCTTGGATCTTGATGTCTCCTTTATAGATCGGTATGTTGTGATCGGAGCCCAGAGAGACTCGTGGGGCCCAGGAGCGGCCAAGGCTGGCGTTGGAACGGCCATCTTGTTGGAACTTGCCCGTGTGATCTCAGACATGGTGAAAAACGGTAAATATTTGTGCACAAGAGCATGAGGGTGGGAGGTGATGGAGGTTTAGCTCTGTGTGTCTTAGCATTGGAGAACCTAGTTGCAAAATAATCCTTTGAGAAGGCATAGGGAATCTGACAAAGCTTCCTGAGAAGCTATTACTTGTCTAACATAGGCAACTTGTCTGTGTTGAGCACTCGCTTCCAAGGGACTGCCTGCTTGTATCTGGTATGGCTTGCATGCAAGAATGTCCTTGGATAACACACGATGCATCCTTCAAACTTGCGCTGTCTGAACAAAAAAGGTGGGAAACGCAGACAGCTTGGTTTTCCTACACAGTTCTGCAGCATGGAGGGACAGGGCGCAGTGTTCGTGCAGCCACTCATGTGCATGTTTGTCTGCAGCAGCCAGAATGCTTCAGCTCTGTTTGAGGAGCAGGCAATTCATCAACCCAGGCCCTCAGTGCTAATGTACCTCTCCATGGGGGAAGGGCAGACATCTCAGTCTCTCTGTCTTTGCAGATGGCTATAAACCAAGGCGCAGCATCATCTTTGCTAGCTGGAGTGCAGGAGAGTATGGAGCTGTGGGTGCTACTGAATGGCTGGAGGTACTGTTTCTTTGATAGATGTCTGAGTGATGGCTGTTATGATTTCCTGTTCCTGTGGAATAAGCATCTTGGTGTCGTAGTGCTACTGCTCATCTTAAAATACTTGTTTTGTTCTAGGGGTACTCTGCCACACTGCATGCCAAAGCCTTCACTTACATTAACTTGGATGCTGCAGTCCTAGGTAACCTGCTACTCTTAAATTTCTTGAAACTGTGTGGGACCAGAATAGCTTGATAGATATCCCTTAACCTCCAGGAACGGGGTCTGTGCCAGAGGTTGATGCTGGGTGTTTGGCTGGAGATTGGCATGACTCCGTTTATTCTCCTGTTGTAACTGAGGCTGGGAGGTTGCTGCAGCCTGAGCCAAAAGGAGGCAGCCCTGCTAGGTCCAAGTGGACTGTCCTGTGTCTGTTGAAGATCCTTTGGCAACAAGCTGTAGATCAGTTGTTGCTCCATCACAGGACTGACCAGCTCTAGCAGTAGTGGTTAATTATGCCAGCATGTCAAACACTCTTTCTTTTTTTCAGGCTTCAATGACATGAAGATTTCTGCTAGCCCATTGCTGTACACGTTGCTGGAGAGAACTATGAAGGGGGTGAGTTTAAGGGTCTTGGGCAAATCAAAGTGACTGTGGTTTTAAGGAGGAACTGAAAGCAGCCAGAGCTGTGCTGGGTCTCTGTCGCCAGCTGGCACCTTCTGAGGGGAAAACCCCATTTAGGGGAAAGGGCTGAGATACTTTGGAGGGCCTTGTCTGAAGTCAGCAGGGCTCTGGGAATTGCAGTTCACACATACAGAATCTAAAATCAGCAAATGCCACAGTTCAGTGGGAGGTGAATGCCTGTCCTGCGTGAACCGTTCCTGTGTCGAGAAAGGTCAGGGGAACACACCAGACTCTGGCATCTGCACAGCAATGCGAGATCCAGGATGGACTTGGAAGCCCAAGCAGAGGTCAGAACAAGTGCAGTGACTGTCGTCTCTGTGCAGGTGAAGGACCCAACAAAGGATTCGGGAAGCCTGTATGACAGAGTTGGCTCTGACTGGGTAAAAACAGTGTAAGTATTGTCATCCTGCTCTTATGGAGATTTGCTTTCCCAAAAGGAACATATTAAATGGCTTCTGCTCTTTGTGCTGGAGGGTCATGCTGCTGTCTCGAGTGGGCTCTACCTGCTGCAATGGGATCAGGCAAGCATGAACGGTACAACACTAGCTGTGCTTAGTGCTGCCCCAAGCTGTCTGTAGGCAGCCCAGGCACTTTTGTATAGGGCAAGAACAGCCTTGTACAGAGACCAGTGGCTGGAAATGGACGAGCCGCCCTCAGTGCTTGGCCAGGACTCCTTGCCAAAACCACTCTTGTCTAGGCAGGGTAGTCCAGTTGGCTCAGAGCTTCAACTCTAGGGCTTGTAGCTTTTCTCCTGGGATGGCCGAAACAGTTAGTAACTAGTCAATACTTGTCTCTTGCAGTGTGCCCCTTGGTCTGGATAATGCAGCATTCCCCTTCCTGGCCTACTCGGGAATCCCAGTGGTTTCCTTTGGTTTCTGCAATGTAAGTATTATCTGCCTGCCTGGTGTTCTCATTCCATGGAAAGTGCTGTAAGGATATTGGCTGTCCAGGATGGCAGAGCATAAGGTGCTGTCCCAAGCTCATTGTCTATGCACGAGCCTCTCTGGGAGAGGAGATGCAGCCTCTGAACCTGGTGGCTGTGGCAGTACTTGCTGTGAAGGCTGCTCCTGGGGCATGGTTGGCCTACAGTCTCTGTTCCAGAGTCCTGAACACTCCTCTTTTGTTGGGAGAGGGGACACTTCCTCTTCTGGAGGCTCAGATGTCAATGATTCAGAAGCTAAAAGCACTGAAAAGATGTCAAGTTGTTGCTGCTTCAGTGAAAGACTACTACAGCCTGCTGGTCAACAAGCAAAGCACATTGGGGAAGCAGTACCATTGGTCAGAGCAAGTACTAACTCCGACTGTTCAGGTCTGCTGCTGCAGCTTGGGACTGGCAAAAATGGCATCAGCCAAACAGCGTGCTCTGTTACTGCAGGTGTGCAGCTGGGAGTCTTTCTGATAACGACTTCCTCTGCTTATGAAAGCTTGGATTTTGTTAATGTCAGACTTTTGTCACAAAAAACCTAGAATAGAGTTATTCTACCAAGAAGGGTTGGAGGGTGCTGCCAGCACATACCAAACTAGGTTCTGGGGTTTGCCCACCTGCTCTTATGCAGCAAACTCAGAGGGGGGAAAAGGTCTATATGTCTTCAGGTCTAACAGACTAGTGGAGGAACTATGAGGGGTGAGATGCAGGAGGTCCATTCCCTTCCCCTGTGCTTTGAAGTTTTGCCACTCAAGTCTCGCTACTTAGCAGCCCAAGGAGAAGGGGTGCAGTGGAAATAGTAAGCAAATCATAGTGGGAGGTGAAAAATCCTAGCTGGAGAAGCACCCTTGCCTAACTTGAATGCCTTCTTTCTTGCAGAAAGATGAGGAATATCCCTTCTTGGGCACTACTGAGGACACCGTGGAGAATCTGAAGAAAATTGACAAATTGCATGCTCTTATGCGTGCTGCTGCAGAAGTTGCTGGACAGATAGCTCTCAGGCTGACCCATGATCATGAGCTCTTCCTGGACTTTGAGAGATATGGTGAAGAATTGCTAGCGTACCAGGAGAAGTTTTTGCCCTACGATCGAGATGTGAAGGTAAGAAAGGCTCTGAGTGCACTGAATCCCTGTAGACTGTTATGGGGCCACGTGTTAGTATGTCTCTGCTGCCGTTGGATACAACAAGGTGAACATCTTCCCCCTTTGGGCATGAGTGTAGCAAGACATGACCTGAATTGATGTTCCTTGTAGAGAAGTGCAAGCAGAGCAGCTGTGGCAGACAGATTTAGCTAATCTGGCTGTGGTGAGCCCTTGAGGAAGTTAATGTGGGTGGCTTCTAGTCGCTTATCATTCACAGCACTGTGCAGCTTTGCATCTCATTTGCACCTCTGCTGAAAGCCTATGAGAAACCGTAGGTGGGGAGAGACGTCACTCAGCTCAGTGACCTCAGAAGAGCCTGCCAGGAACTCACTCTGCTACTTAGTTAAACCAGCAAAAAAAAAACCCCAATGCTTTTTCTTGGTAAGAGAGCAGCAAAAGAAGAAAATCAGGTTTGCTAACAGCTCCTCCCTCACAGGCACTAGGGCTGACCTTGAACTGGCTGTTTTTTGCCCGTGGTGACTTCCAGCGAGCTACAGATGCACTGAGAAGAGACATCGCAAACAGTGACAGGGAAAACAGGATCATCCGCAGAGCCCTGAATGACAGGATCATGAAGGTGGGTATCTACAACTGGTTTTCCTTTCTTCACGAAGGAAGAGAGTGCTGGCTGGGATGGGCCTCTTCCTTAGGAGCCATGGGCACTGTGCAAACCGGTATCTCTTCCGCTTGCCTAGTGTCTATGTGACTGACTTCTGTGCTTGCTGTTGGGAGAGGGTCTGGCCCTTGCAGAGCTGCTGAGGGAAAGGGCTGGGTGGGGATCAGAGTTTGGGAGCTCATCACAGCACAGATTAGGAAAGAAAAACTTGGGAGGTGACAGTATAACCCTAAAGTTGCACCTCTACTCCAGGTGGAGTATGACTTCCTCTCCCCATACCTCTCACCGAAAGATGCTCCCTTTCGCCACATCTTCTTCGGCAAAGGCTCTCACACCCTGCAGAGTCTGCTGGAGAGCCTGCAGCTGCTGAGAAGCAGCAGTCACAGCGTGGACGTGAACATGCTGAAAGAGCGGCTGGCCCTGGCGACTTGGACCATTAAAGGGGCTGCCAATGCCTTGGTGGGTGATATCTGGGATACAGACAATGAATTCTAGACATGGCAAACACCTGGTTAAGGTACAGGATTAGAGGAACCCACTCCCTAACATGGCATTACTTTTCTGTAGATTTTTCTGGCAACAAATCTTTTTTGGACTGAAATCAAGCACAAAATTTAAATCTCACCTTGACAAATTCACAGGAGGCAGTTTTAAAACAGGTACTAAGATTACTATGAAATCTCCTCTAACCAGGGTCCCATCTGACCATGGTCCAAACCGGTCACGTACAGCTGCTTGTGGGGCTTGTTCTCCAGTGTACTTGAGAACTAACAGCTCAGGTGACTCCTGAACCTGAGTGTACCTTGAGTGGGGAGGTACCTCGTCTATTTAGGGTTTTCATTGTTGCTCCCCCTAAACCTAGTGACAAAACAGGGAGTGGATTCCTCTTAACACTTGTAATGAGGATCCCTTCTCTGGCAGGGAGCTGCAGAGATCAACCTGTAGTTCAAAAATAAAACAACCTAGTAATAGCCCGCAAGTGCTGGATTATCAGCAAGCTCTGAAGTGCCTGGCTTGTCTTTACTCAACAGCAGGGTCCCAGCGACATCTTGGAGGCTTGCTTCTGCCAAGGCAGGTCTCAATACCCAGGGAAAACGACCCAAAGATTATCTAATGCTCTCTTTATATCCTTAGCTGGCACCTCAGTGAGTCCTGCGGCACTGAGAAACGGCTCTAGGCTGGCACTTCAGACCTTGCTGCTCTGGGGCCTTTTGTGAAATCAAGTCTCTTGCTGGCCAAACCCTGTTTAACTGATGCCATTTGGCAGGATGGCTCTTGCTTGGCACTGAGATATTTATTTGTTTATTTATTTATCAGTGGCAGTGTTCACTATAAATGATGGGGGGGTTTTATAGAAGATAATTATCGGAAGCAGTGCCTTCCATAATTATGACAGTTATACTGTCGTTTTTGAATAAAGCAGCATCTGCTATTACAATCAACCATGATACTGGAACTTTGCATTTAAAATAATCTAAACAGGCCCCTCAGAAGAAAAAAAAAAAAAGTGTTTTTTCAAACTAGCAATTAAGCTTTCTGTAGCAAAAACACCCCTCTGGAAGAAATTGAAGGTGTAAACCTGGTAGCAAGTCTCCGGGTTGCACTCCAAAGTGATCCCTGAAACGCTGAAAACCTGGGTGGAAACTCAAATACTAGAAATTTGGCTTCCCTACTGTGTCCATGCCCCCCTGTGGGCTTCGGACTCCCTCTTTGCCCCCCTTTCTGGATGCCGTGTGCTCTCACGGGGAGCACAGCTTCCTTCCTGGCCCCGGTGGAGGGGCTCGCTGAGTATCCCTAGCTCCACCTGCGGCAACACACACAAACTTCTTGTACCTCAGATTAGGCATTGGCCCAAATTTTTTAAACAGCAGCTTCCTGCAAACTTCCAGTACCTTGTGTATCATGAAACCTAAGTGACATTATCGGGGGCAGTGTCTTCCATAATGTGTAAAGAACAAGGTAGTTTTTGCCTACCACAGTGTTATATCGGAGGCAGTGACCTCCATATGTTGCACTATGGGTGTACGTAATTATCGGGGACAGTGTTTCCCATAATTGTTCTATGCTTATCATGCAATGTCATCTGCGAAGCTTGATGGTTAGTATCTAACATGGATCAATTTCCTGCAGTCCTATTTTTTCCACTCTCCTGTGGTGATGCAGATACAAGCTTTGGTCTGTTATGTACTTCCTTAGACTCTACCTTCTCCGTAGGCTGAACTGTTTCAAATAGCTGTGCTGTCTTGAGGTGGCTTTTTGCCTCCAGTCATGGGACTGGTGCTTGAATGTTTAGTAGAAACTAGGTTAGTTAGACTGTGTGCTCTGTGATTTAGTAAAATTCCTTCAAATCAGTTACAAAGACTTGGGGAATTAGAGGTGAATGTAGGGCTTGGGGCTGACTGCTGTCTGGAGGGCTCTGGTCACTGTTCTAGATGGGTGTGCGAACTACTGAAGAGGCTGGCTTGCTTTGGCACTGGGGTCGTGCTGGTGTGCGTGCGTGGGAGGCTGCTTGCTCCCCAGGCCTCGCTGGAAACTCCAATCTTGCCTCCTGGGTGAATTGTGGAGAGGGGGAAATCGATGGCACCTTTCTCATGGTGCCTCTCTGCTCCCTGAGCTGAAGCTGAAGACTGCTGCTGTGTGACACCTCCTAAACTGCACTGCCTCTTCCCAAAAAGCAGCTGGCTTGCTCACACCAGCCCTATATTCTGCAAACAGTTTGATCTGGCATTTAAACCTAAACCAAGTGAGTGACCTGAGCCCCAGCAGTAGCCCTTGAGGGAAATAACCTTGTTCAGCTGGAGCAGAGACCTGGGCCCCCACAAGGAATGGGCAAGGACAAGTCCCCGGCCTCATTACTGAGCCCAGTGCTCACCGACACGGAGCGCTGGACCTTCATCTCCCTAGGAGCTTGATGCGGAGGCTTGTGCAACTCCTTGCTCTTCCTTAACTGCCCTGCTGTCTCTAAGGCATGCATACAGCTCTGTCTGTGTTACTGTTCCCTAGTGACACTTCTCTGGATGGCATTTAAGAGCTGCTCTCTGGGAGTCCTCACTGTAGTGTTTGCATGCATCTCGATGTCAGATTTAATCATATGCTTTATAGCCAGCAGAGAAAGACAAAGCCTGTCTCCAGGCTCGGCGGCACAACCTGATTACTGGGATGTCAGAATGCCTTGCTCGGTGCTGGTATTTGACTGTTGTGGGATACTAAACTCTGTTTCTGGATTACTTGCTGGCTGCTTGAATAAAGTTTTAAAGCTCGAACATTCAACTCCTCTCGTGGCTTCTTGGGTTCTTGCAAAGCCACGATGCTGTTGTGGCCACAGGTGAGCTCCAGCAGGCAGAGGGAGGCTGCTCTCCTGACCCCTCGGGGCTGGTAACTGGCAGCTCCAGTACCGCCTTGTTGACGTGCACTGGCAAGCCCAAACCTCACCATGCTGCTCCGCACCGATTCTTGCCTCGCCGCAGGCGACCGGGACAAAGACTGTGGGGTTCTTGCAAAGCCACGATGCTGTTGTGGCCACAGGTGAGCTCCAGCAGGCAGAGGGAGGCTGCTCTCCTGACCCCTCGGGGCTGGTAACTGGCAGCTCCAGTACCGCCTTGTTGACGTGCACTGGCAAGCCCAAACCTCACCATGCTGCTCCGCACCGATTCTTGCCTCGCCGCAGGCGACCGGGACAAAGACTGTGCCAGTGAAGTGGAGG